GTGATCCCTCTCCCATCTTAATTTTCTTTCAGTTCAATTTTTTTTATTTGTTATCTGCATTTTTTGCTTCTGTATTGCTAAAAACTTTCGGCTTTGCAGTTGGAATGCAAACTATGATAGCTTGCTCAGCAGCAACAAGCCTTTCACCAAGCCGGTTCCTCTGGCTGTAAGTCTGCATAACATGGTTTTATTTTGTTCGATTATCACTTCATTTGTCTCATTATTTCACTTTGAATTGGCAGGAAATGGCAGATTTTTTAGTTGACATTTGGGAGCAAGAAGGGCTGTATGATTGATATATTAGTATAGGCATTAGATTTTGACTGTCGATCGAGTAGTAGGACTCGACCGCTGTTGTAAAATGTTAAATTGTATCGAGCTGTATGATTTTAATGATCGTATCAAAAATATGAAATTATGATCCTGAGTCTCGACCTTGATTGACATCCATGAGTGTGATTCGAAAGTGTTTATTGGATGCATTAGGCCTCGAGAACCCTCCTCAACGTTCAAGCCAAAGTTGGATAAAGATAGAATAAAAACTTTTTCATGTTCCCACCCACCCCACGCCTCCCTAGAACCTCTCAGAATCTTCTCTCCACTGTAGAATACCAACTACAGAGACAGCTCTTTAAATTCTTTCCAATCCTCTGCTCTCATCACAACTAATAAAAAAACTTCGTCATTCATACTCACATAGATAATAATCTTGTCTGCTTGATCCAAAAATCAAAATCATAATGGCTTTAGCTCGTTTGGCTATGAAATCTTTGCAGCAGAGGGTGGTTTCTCCCTCATCTTCTTTGTTGTCTCGAAATGTTAACCTCAGTACCGCTCCTACCCATAAAGAAAAGTGGGCTTCTGAGTTTCTCCGGCGGCTTTCGACAGTGGCAGGTGAAAAGTCAGAGGGCGGCGCCGCCCGAGAGGTGGCTGTTTCTGAAGGTGGTGACAAGACGTTTAAGTTATTCCCAAGGAAGAAAAATAGAAGGGGTCTATGGAGAAGTCACGACCGTGACGTTGTTCCTGCTTCTTGGGGTAAATTCTCTCTTCAATATATTACATGTAAAATTTATCCAAGATTGTAAATTACTAATGGGAATTTTGTTTTTAGAATTATTTCCATCTGGGCTTGGAAATGCTTTACTACAAGCAACTGAAAACATCAACAGATTATTCGAAAAGTTGTCACCTTCTAACCTCATTGGCAAGGTAAAAGAGAAAAAAGAATGCTACAAACTGCGATACGAGGTTCCGGGGCTAGGCAAGGACGACGTAAAGATAACGGTCGAGGATGGAGTTCTTACCATAAAAGGAGAGCACAAAGAAGAAGAAGAAGAAGGATCTGACGATGAATATTGGTCATCCAAAAGCTATGGTTACTATAATACAAGTCTTCTGCTGCCAGACGATGCGAAAATCGATGAAATTACGGCTGAGATTAAGGATGGTGTGCTGACCATTACTGTGCCAAGGATTGAGAGGGATGAGAAAATTGTTAAAGAAATTAAAGTGAATTGAATTCGAGTCTTATGGGGTGTTTGGTTTTTGATTTTTCCCGTATGTACAAAGGAGGGGTTCAGAAAAGTCCTCCGGGATACTCACCTGGGTGGGTTCATATAATTAAAATATTGTCAAAATAATATCCATCCTTTTATCATGTGTTATCTGGATGGGTTATGTGAACTCCTCCTTGTACGTGTAGTCTCTCCCTTGGTTTTTATTCAGCTAACCTTTTGTGTAAAGTAATGAATAAGCTTATTACGAATAGATGTTCGTTGTTTGAGTTTAAAAACGATACGAGTTTGTAAGCTTTAGTGTTTGGCAATACTTGTGTTGGGGGTGGGGGGGTGGTGGGGGGGGGGGTGGGGGTTTTATTTTTTATACAGCTAACCTTTTGTGTAAAGAAGGGAATAAGCGTATTATGAACGGATGTTCGTTGTTTGAGTTTAAAAATAATACGAGTTTATAAGCTTTTGTGTTTGGCAATACTTGTTGGTTTATATGAGAGCAGGAAGTTTGCAAAAGTTAACGATGTTTTCTTGTCCCGAGTATTGTAAGGTTAATCTGAATGTTTTCGTACATTTTCGTTGACTTCAACAGACTGAAAAAATGCTGAGAGGAAGATTTGCAATCTATTGACTTTCTTCTCCCAACGGGCTCTAGAGCGTCTATGACAACTGATTTTCAAGCAGAGAATTCATCGAAAACAATCCATATAAGCACTTGTTTTTAGCTCTTAACTTATTTTTTGCACAAATAATGGCTGAATTTAAATCTAACATTATGGTTTTGTTTCAAGAAAAGAATGTTACAGATATTACGAGTGTCATGACACTCTTATCTAAAATTTGAAATCGTTTATGTCTATTTTCTCCTGTACTAAACACGTACTTTTTATTTGAGGTTCAATGAAATTTTCGATATCTCATTCCAACCTTCCCTATCATCCCTTAGTATCGTCAAGAAAATTTGCAATGCTAATTGAATTCTACTATTTGCATATAGAACAAATAGAATTGATTGAAAGAAAGTTGATCGATGACGTAATGACTAAACTGAACAAGAATGAAAGTTCAGTGATTAGTTTGGTTTAGAAATGGATTTTTATGTTGTAGATTCGGAGATATTTAAAAATGAATTCTATATTCTTTTTATCTATTAATTTCCTCTGATAAAAGAAATAAATAAGTCGTCTCTCAATTTCCCTCAATTACACGCCACGTAGCATATGGTTTCCCTTCTAGAGAGACCCTTTGTGAACTATCAGAATAATGTTACTTAGTTTCGTTGGGGTTGCAACCTCAGTTTAGCAGTATTAAATATTTTATTAATGAAGTATAAATTAAATAAATTATTTAATTTTATCTATCAATTAATATCATATTAGTACCATATACACTGAGGATGTAACTTCAATGAGATTAACCCCCCGTTTGATCCTCATTCTCATTTTTTTTCTTTTTTATTTTCAATCATAAAATATTTCATAAAATAATATTACACGTAAATAAATTATTTTTTATTTTTTTTCAATCACACATTTTTTCAAAAATCACTACCCCAATCATTAAAATTTGAAAGGAATGGATAGCAATACCCGATCATTAGAAACGAGTGTCATATATAAAAGGCCACGTGTCACTGGAAAAGATAGCACGAACACTGTTGTCCTTTTAGGGTAGATTAATATTATCCACTTCTCCAAGAAAAAGGGCATCGTGGCGGTTGATTTGGGGGCTTGCTCTATATTTTCGCTGACGAGAATTTTGCTGAGTGTCTGTTTAATTTGATTGTACCTTTTTCTATATTGGCTGTACCTGTAGAGCTGATTTTGGTCTGTGTACCGTTAGGTCAAGAAAATGGCGGAGGATCTGCGTGGACCTGTTGAAGGTGTCGTTTCAGTGGAGCTCCCGGCGCCTGCCGCTTGGAAAAAATTGGTATTTTCATATAATCTTAGCTTTTGCAACTTTTCTTTTTCTTTTTCCTTTGCAGATGAATTAATATAGGCTTTTCCAATAGTTTTTTGTATAATTTTTCTTTTCTCGTTATTTTGTTAATATGTGTTGCCATGGCTGTAAGCAATTTTTGTCGGCATAATCCGTTTTTATTAGGGTTTAAAACATTAAAATTTATAATAATTTGGGTTTTGTGGAAATTTTTATTTTTATTTATATTTCTCCGTCTTTCAGTTCTAAATAATCATTTGATTATTTTTATTTTTTTTGGCCTTTTGAATCGTGATTTTGATTGTTAAAATCTGCTTGTATTATGTTTGATTACATATATATATTTTTCATTTATGTTAACCTTCATTAATTTGGGGTAGTATCTGCAATCGTTCCATTTATTCGATTAGATGATTCCTTCAGTTAGTATTATTACTTAATCAGCGAGACTCCGTTAATTAGGATCATAATGACCTTGAGCACAAGAATACCGTTTGCTTTGAGAGAATATGTGCCCATCTTATCTCACGGATTAGTCCTTCGGGATTCAAACCTTGACCTCTGCAGTTGAATTTGGTACTGATTGAGCAATTTTATAAAATTATTTGGGAGGCAAAAACTACTGAACTAATTTATTTCTAATAAATACAGATGATAATACATTATCCAGGCTTAAAGTCTTAAATGTTGATAATATTAGGCCTCAAAAGTCAAAACGAAAAATTCCAGGGTGTTCCACCTATTTTTTTCCATTTTTTTTCCTTATCAATTTCCCCCTGAAGTGCTTAGGTTTCCTATTTCTTGACAATTTGTTATACATTTAAGACATTTTAGTAAGTTGGGATTATATTTGACTCTTTTTCTCTCTTCAAAAACTAATTCTTCAAGTTGAGCTTGATGTGAATCCTTATTAGTGACCAAGGAACATCACTCCACCTCGTTGTATTCCCTCACTCTATTACAAGGAAGAATTGAGTTGGATTATGGGCCTAGGCTTTTGCCTTTTCATTGGAGGTTTTCCAACATAAAAATTTGATGTCTTGATTTCTTGAATGTTTTGCATTTCTATGCCTAATTACCTGCTGAAAATGGATTAGCGTATTTGATTGGGAAATTCCGATTTCTGCATCTGCATCTTCAACAACCATGTCAATTTTTCTAATAATATGGCATGTTCAGCCACATGGTAGCACCATTGTTTTGCATAGGAGTTTTAAGTCCAACTTTTATAATGGTTTGTATAGGAGTATTTTTAATACATATTTTAAAATAGGGCATCATCAGTAAGAGATTTATCTAACTTTATGCTCATATTGGCTACCTGTCGATGGGAAAATGTGAAGAAATGGAATAAATCCAACTGTTCTATGGGGTTTTGCCATTTGTTCATTGATAATGAGTGACCTGTATTTGGTTTGCATTGTGAGTTAAGTGTTTGCTTGTTTAACTTGTCTCTCTAATATTTAATGATCATGATTTTTCAATTGGAAATAAAATGTGGACCTTAGACGTGAAAATATAGATGGAAATAATATGGAGTTGAATTTTTTATTATTATTTATTATTATTATTATTATTATTATTATTATTATTATTTTTGCAATATTTATTTTTACTAGCTCCAGTATATTCTTGTAGGACAAAAGAAAGACTTGAATAGAACAGCTATGTAGGGAAAGAACTCAAATTGCTTGTAGTAACCTGAGTGTTGTACCCAATTTATAAAATAAATATTAATAGTATAAAAGTTGTACGGTTAAGCTCATGGTGAAATATAGGCCTCTTAGATATTATTATTGCATATCATGTATACATGGGTGTTAAATATAGCCTCCTCTGCTGCTGGTACAATAGCGCATCCGCCCCCCATCCCCCCCCCAAAACGCAAAAAAAAAAAGAAAAAAAGAAAAAAAAAGAGAAGGAATTTAAGTGAGATGTGTTTCTGCATTGTCAGGGCGACAGGGTTGTCAGCAAATTTTCTTGTAATTCCCTACTGTTATCTAAATGTGGATAATTATCATCCATCTAATTTCTTGACACGGTTCATCCATTTAATATGCAGTGCATGACAAAGAAGGTTGGTGCTTCAAGAAAGAATGAGGTTGTATTCATTGCACCTACCGGAGAGGAGATTAGTAGCCGGAAACAACTGGCGCAGTACCTAAAATCACACACTGGAAATCCGGCAATATCAGAATTTGATTGGGGAACTGGGGAGACTCCTAGGAGATCAGCAAGAATCAGTGAAAAAGTCAAGTCAACACCTCCTTCAAAAGAGACTGAACCGCCTAAGAAACGAGTCAGGAAATCGTTGGGTACAAAGAAAGAAAAGGAAATGGAAACTGGAAAAGAAGAAACAGGGGGAAAGAAAGACGCTGAAATGCTGGATGCTGAAGTTGATGAAAAGAAAAATGACGGGGGAAAGGAAATTGATCTGAGGGATGAAAATGAAGTCAAAACTGAAGGTAAAATACAAGAAGACGCTGATAAGAAAAGTGACACTGAGATCAAATTGGACGGGAAAGATCCAGAAGAAAATGTTGTGACTGAAGAAATGCCTAAGATAGGAGAAAAAGTCGAAGAAGAACAAGTACCTTCGTCTGGAAAACCAGATTCCAAACCTGGAAATGTTGGGGTAGATGATGAGACACAGGATAAGCCAGAAAGCATCACTGAAGCGGCCAATGGAGCTGAAACTAATGACGTCCAAGAGAGTAGTGGCATATTTAATTTGCAGGTGAATATAGAAGGGGACATCATGGAAAATGGAAAGGTTAACCTATCAGGGAACACACTGGCTCCAAATAATCCTCCTCCTGTTCCTTTCGGATGTTAAGTGTATTTTGTCATTTTGCCATAGAGGATATTTTATCTGCTTCACTACCTTCTAATATTCGCTTGTAAACATATATAGTCCCAGACTTAGCTTAATGTAAGCATAATGGTTATAAGTGCAAGATTCTCAAGTTTAGTTAGGGAATCAACCTTCAGGGTTGATGACGTTGTACCTTTTGTTATGCAAATAATGTATTAGATTGGAATATGAGGACTTGTTAGTTTGCCATACTGCCTTGCTTCTAGTGAATTAAGTGACATGAGACTTTTTTGGGCTGATGTGGGATTTTGTATTTAGAATATCACATTTTTTGATGATTAGGTGATGTGAACTATTAACAGAACAAAAACTAATATGAAAAAGGAGATCTTGTTTGAAAAGGTAGTTATATTTCTCGTCCCAGCTGTCTAGGCTTGGAAGCTCCACAGGCTTTAGGATGTCCAGTCCCTGCTATTGCTACTGGGCAGTGTCATGAGCTTACCCGTACCTACAATTATGCAGTACGCATTGGCTTGACAAGCATGGGCCATATTGGATAAACGTGTTTTTTAATTACATCCAAAACTTCAACTTATTAATATACGAAAGGTATAGCTAGAAAGAGAACTTAATTTGAAAGAGACACAGAATCTACCGAAAAAGTGAAAAAGGTAGTACCATGGATCAAGCATGAAAGGCAAGGAAAAATATACTTTGAGGTAACGAAAAGGTTGGAATCTTATTCCAATCCCACAAAGCCAAAAATGACTTATTTTCATCAGAAATCTACAATTTTCCTTCATCTTTAGATTAAGGTTTGGAATCTTTTATGGGTTTAGTGTATCAACTATGACAATGGAATTCCCACAGAGGAAGCATTGCATCGTACGAGCCTATGTTCTTGCAGCCCATACACAATTGTCATTAATAATCCTTTTTTTCTACAAATGGAATGACTGTTTCATTTACTTCTGCTATCAAGATTATGGGTTTCTTTTCTTTCTACCTCTCGTTGTTCATTTCGCTTTCGATTGTTCCGTTCTCGAACAGTATGTGCCCTTCTTCTTTATTATAGGAGTACCCGTTTTCAGTATCACCTCGTCTAAAAGATTTAACCTTTCAACACATTTTCATCTCATGTTTATTGTTAGAGATGGATGCTCTAATTTCCTGTGTATCTGATATTAACTTAGGATACGCATATAAAGTTTAGTTTGTTAGCTCTGGCGTAAAATTCGGCTTGCAGGCTGATAAATATTTAGAACTGATGTACACAAGGAGCAAACTAAGCCATGTTCCAAATAAATTTGGACTCTAACTCTGAAAAACAATTACAAAGACATTAATATCATGATGGGAAGCAGTGTCATTATTATTATTTATTGTGAAGCTATATCTTACATAATCAAGTTTTTTCTGTTTTGCAGTTCTGGTAGTACAAGCTTTCACAGGTACATATGGAGTAAATTATGGCAGAATAGCTGACAATATCCCACCACCCGAAAGCGTCGTAACACTTCTAAAGGCGGCAAAGATAAAAAACATCAGGATTTATGATGCCGATCAAGGAGTTTTGAGGGCATTTAGAGGGTCTGGAATCGAGATAATTGTTGGACTTGGGAATGAGAATTTGAGAGATATAAGTGTAAATCCAGATCGTGCGGTAGACTGGGTGAAAGAAAATGTCGAGCCGCATATACCCGGCACACTCATTCGTGGGATCGCTGTTGGAAATGAGGTGCTAGGGAGTGTAGATCCCACTCTTTGGGAAGTTCTTGTGCCGGCAGTGAGAAATGTCTACAATGCTCTTGATCGGTTGCGACTCACTAATAGGATTGAGGTCTCGAGCCCACATTCAGAGGCTGTTTTCGCAAATACGTTCCCTCCTTCAGCAGGGGTATTTAAGGACAGTGTTCTTCCTTACATGAGGCCACTTCTACAGTTCTTTTCGCAGATTGGTACTCCGTTCTACATAAATGCTTATCCGTTTTTGGCCTATATCAGCGATCCATCGCACATTGATCTGAATTACGCTCTTTTTCAAAAGAGTGCCGGTATATATGATTCGAGGACTAAACTACACTACGATAATATGTTTGACGCCATGGTTGATGCTTCTTACGCTGCATTGGAAAAGGCCGGTTTTGGTAAAATGGAAGTCATAGTATCCGAAACCGGTTGGGCTTCGAAGGGAGATGAAAATGAAGCAGGAGCCACTATGAACAATGCGAGGACTTACAATCGTAATTTGCGCAAACGACTACTCAAAAAGAAAGGGACTCCTTATCGACCTAAGACTCCAGTGAAAGCTTATATCTTCGCGCTGTTCAATGAAAACTTGAAGCCCGGGCCAACATCTGAGAGAAACTTTGGTTTGTTTAAAGCTGATGGCAGCGTATCATATAACATCGGGTTTACTGGGCTAGTACCTAGTTCGGCAACATCGTCTCTTCTCTCCATAAAGGTACGCGAGCTCAAAACAATTAACTTATTTATCGATCAATGTTGAAAAGATTAAATTATCTGCAATATTTTCATCTTTTCAGGTCCGCGAACTTGAAGGATTGGCTCAAATAGCCTTTGCTGGTCTTGTTCTTGTTTTGATATTATGATCCATTCAAAATCAACAGACAATCAGATTGTAATGGAGATTCATTCATTTGTTTGACATTATCTTTCAAGTTCCTGCCCGTGCAGTCGATGTTCTTACCACCTGCCTTTAATTCATTATTGAAAATTGTTCCCTTAAACCTGTTTCAGATATATGAAAATAAATATTGTTTATTTACTTCCCCAATTTTTTATTTAGTCATTGTTCGAAAAAAAATCAGTTCTCGAAATATCAATATCACAAAAATTACCCAAAGATACAAACAAGAATGTAAAATTACAAATTAAGAAGAAAAAGTTGCATCCTCATTGGTGGGATTTACAGATTGAGACTTCCACCCCATGGTCCCCACCATCATTTTCATCAGCTAAATCTTCACCGTTGATACGATCAAGCACTAGGACTAACCCCATACCGAAGGCTGCATCAAAACCCGTTTTTATTGAAAGTAAAAAAACGTCTTTTCCAAGCATGACATTAGTGGTAGCATCCACTTTGCGTCGAATCTCAGCAACTATCTCCTTTTCCGCATCAAAAATGGTGCAATGCCTGTTGGCGAAGGAGCCTTCGATCTGGTACTCCTCACCTGGATCGGTGTACACCTCCACGGATAGGCTGCCCCGTCCGATTATTGATGATCTACGAACGCAGAAGATTGGCTTCTGTCCCTCAATTCTCTCCCCTACGAAGCCTTCCCACCTTTGATGGAGACTCGGTCTCTGCAAAATTAAGACGTCACTAAATTCAAATCCAGTGAAAACCCGGAAAATTTCCTATTACTAAATCAATTTTCCTCCATCCGTTTCGTAATAGATTAACAATAAGTTATTGTGAATCTTGACTCACTGATTTGACCCAGAGCTGAGAAATGATACCTTGCGACGAAGGGTGAGAAGGCATCTGCCGGAGGCGTCCATGAGAACGAGTTCACCCGTGTCACGAGTGTCGGGGCCGTACGAGTCGACTCGAAAGACGAGTTCACCTTTGCAGTCGTAAGCAGTGTAACCATCTCCGGCGAAGAAAAGAGAGGTCTTTGAAACAGTGAGATGAGTTTCATCCTTGTATACGAAACCGTCTTCCACAATTACTCCATTCTTCATCTCTCTTTCTAAGTTTCAAATTTGAAGCTCTCGATTATTGAAATTTGTTGTTGAAGAACAGTATAAATTCTCGAGCGCGATGATGGGATATTATATAGAGAGAAAAATCCATTTAGCTAAACGATGGTCAACAAACGGGTAAACGGCTCTTGAACCCTTACGTTGGGTAGAATAGAAAAAGTTGAAAACGCGACTTTAGTCATAAACACTTTGACAAAAGAAAACGATTTTGTTTCCAACTGATATTTCTTAGGTTTCTTGTCTTCAAACGTTCAAAATTTCAACTTCTATTTGCCGTTGAGCCAGTCATGGTTTGTGTCTATTGTTAAAAATTAAAAAAAAATAAAATAAAATGAAATTATCAATTTCAATTTCAATTTTTTATTTATTATGCCGATTCTCTTTAGGAAATAAGTTGGTGAATCAAGATGAAGTTGGTGATCATAATGACTTATTATTGACCATTGTTGTGGTCTAAAAAAAACCTTATATGACGAGAGTTTATTGTTTTAAAAACACATTATAATAAGGGTAAAGTGTAAAAGTACCCTTAGCCAAAAAAAAAAAATAATAATAAAAAAATTATATATTCGAACACTAGACTATTCAAAACCATTTTCATTTTCTTATATGGTGCATGACAAGGACGGAGCAAGACGTTTGGTATTGTGGGGTCAAAAATTGAAATACAATTTTTTAAAACAACATTTCATTAATGAAGATAAGTCAATACACTATTACAATTGCAGTCTACGACTTTTCCTATTCTGAAAATATCGTATAATTACATCATTATTAATATTGTCGAATACATCATTCTCGATATATGCAACCAAACTCTCACTTAACCTTTGATTTTTCATCCAATTATGCAGTTGATTCTTGACAATCTTCATTGCAAAAAATACTCTATCTATCGTGGCAGTAGCAATTGAAAGAATTAACAGGAATGTTACAAGCCTGAAAACTAATAGGTACACCTCTTTTTTTTTTTTTTTTTTTTTTTTATTTAATTTTTTCCCCCTATCTTTA